TATACAAAGTCCCTTCACATTACCGATAATTAACATAGATAGCGTCAAGTGCAGCGTTTGCCTAACCCACTTCATATATATGAGCATATGTGTGTGTGTTGTCCAACACTGGCCGAGCTGGCCTGCACTTGACTGCATTTGTGCATTTCCAATTGACTTTTCATGATCTAATCATTAAATAGTATGCGCTCTCTGCATTCTGTTCAATTAATTGCTACGCTTTACGCTCGGGCTTAAAAAATCAAATTACACACACCCAAACAAACACATAGATACACACACACACACATATACACACACACACACCTGCGCTGGCAGCTCTTCATCTGCACTGCTCAGTCATGTATGCGCTTAGCAACTGATTTGAGCTGAAGCCCTCGGGAGCTCAGTCGATGGAACAGTTGATGGAGCAGGAACAGGAGCAGGAGGCGGGGTAGGGAAGGCGCTGGTTAGTGGTTGAAGGGGGGCACATAACGAGTCGGGCCATCGGAGTAGCTTGTCTATTTGTTTTAATCAGTGAAGTCGACCAGTGGGCTAATCGTTTATGATTTAGTTTTTGATTTGCTCAGCCAAGAATTGTCCATAAATCAGAGGCTGCAGACAGTCTCAAAAAAAAAGAAAACAGAAAAGGAAAACAACAAAAATGTAGCCCGGGGAGTGCAAAGCTTTACAGACTTTTCTTCTTCTTTTTTTTATGAACTGTGCCACAGTGCTGATGCAGAAGACCAATACCAGAGAGAGGCAGGGGCAGCGGCAGCGGCAGCGGCAGCGCCAATGGGCGTGGCAGAGGTAGAGGCAGCAGCTGCGGCAGCAACCGCTGAGCCACAGAGGCGGCCGCTGTGTGTTTTCGACTATAAAATTAAATTGCGATGTGGTAGAAAGTTAGCAAATGCCCAGTACAGTGGCTGCAACAACAAACTATTGCTTACTGCCCCACATTACACATTTGGCCAAACACAAACGCACACACACACGCACACATTTACACTCCAATACACACATAGGCAAACTGCAGCAGCGAACAATTGTTCGGCGCATATCATTTGGTTAAAAGGATTCGTTTTACTCAACGTGGGTTTGTTATATACGAAAAACCATTCGACTACTCTGTGTGTGTGCTTGTGTGTTGCCTGTGTGTGCTTGTGCTTGTGTGTGTGTGTACGTACAAATCAACTAATCTACTCCCCACGGCAAAGTTACGAGAAGACCGACAATTATATCCGCTCTCTGCTCACAATTTTTGCATGTCGTAAAGTTTCTAGTGGCGCACAGACCCCAAGCACAGCAACTGCCCCACCCAGCTCCCCACCTGCTCGCTGCTCGCAGTTCGCAGCAGAC